AACCACTTCGCGACAGGGATACCTTCTGAGAAATGCGACGTTAGGACAATTTCAGTGTTACGTGAACGTCATCGAGTGCACTTACACAAGCCTAGATGGTCTGACCCACTGCACACCTCGGCTGTGTGGCACAGCCTGTCACTCCCAGGCCACTGGCCTGCACGGCACGTTACTGCACAAAACAACACGCGATGCCATCAAGCACAAGAGAAATGATGCGATCGAGAAACGCGGCCAACGCGGGATGTGTGAGGCCACTGCCAGCATCACATGGCACTGTTTTACAGCACACTTAAAAAAAAAAAAAAATTAAGTAGAAAGAGCACACTCTAAAATAACGATGAAAAAATACAGTAAAGAGATAAGCCGGTATCGCAGTCACTTATTATCAAGTATTCTTACTCCATGTAACTTGGTGTGCCACACTTCTATGCAGCAGCTTTGCAATGGCGTCCCCTCAAACCTGAGTGACGTGTTGCCCCACCACACTAGGGCGGCTGTAATGTCACCAGGTGACAGGAATCTTCCAGTTCCATTACCATCTTATGAGACCGCTGTTGTGTATGGGGCCCACTGTTGACCAAAACATGGTTATGTGGTGCATGGCTAGTACTATTGATCAGAGTGTGTGTGACCTGAAGGGCTGGCCAGTTAGCACAGGGTTTGACTAAAGAGCCACTTAAGCCACAAGCCCAATGTCTTCAACTGAGCAGCCCAATTTAATGTCAGTGATTTCTGACATTAAAAATGATTTAAGTGACTTATCAGTTTAGGTGAACTGGTCTCGTCAAGGAGTGCAGGACAGGGAAGGCTCGAGCTGGCCCGGAAGAGGGCGCCTCCTCCAGGCAGGCAGACCCCTCTGTGAAAGCCTTTTTCCAGGAGTGTCACTTCCTGGGTACATCTCTGCCACCACCTGGAATTTGGAAATATCCCCAGGCTGTTATCTCTCACTTCCTTAGTCAAATAGGAAGAAAAAAAAGCTTGGGAATGAAACCTGCCAGTTTCCTCTGAATACAAGATACAAGCTGCTCATTTATATCTCTGAGTGGTTTTATAGTTCTTCACAGTTGGAAGAACTAGCCAGGTCCCACTGTTGCTCAGTGCACTGAAGTGGCTGGATTTCTTTCTCTTTATCCGGTGTGGTTACTGACTTTTTGGACAACGTTTAATATGAAAAGTTATAAATCTCCATGCAGTAGAGCCACGTAAGTATCTGGGCAAGGGAAACATGGTCATGTGTCACCGTCGTTTGGCCATTGAGCCAATGCCATTTGAGAGAAGGCATGTCACAGGCTTGAACCTGCACATGGGGGGGAGTATTCAAATGAGCTTTCAAAAAATATTACGTGGTTTTTTAAAATATTTGGGTCACAAATTTGACATCAGTTTTAAGGGCGGTGTTCATAGAATACCACCACTCTGTGAAGTGACCCATAAAAAAATAGAAGCACTCGCACATTCTCACCGGCCGGCACTTTTTTCTTAGAAGTCTACGTACTGGGGGGAAACTTTATGTTATGGCACCAGCAGGTCCAGTTAGAAAATGCCACCGGCTGTTCCTCTGACTACTTCCGTTTCCTCACCATCTCCACCGCTGTCATCTCAGACCAGGCTGTCACACGCCAGCCGAGCAACACCCATCCAACCCTTGTTCTGTCCCTTCTCCAAAGGGTTATTCAGGTCGTAGCTCCTCCCAATGCCTTCCCATTGTTTATTAGTCAGAGTTTGATCAGGGAAAGAAGAAACCGTGAGCGAAGTGGACTGAGGGCTGCGTCGTGAGGATCACAGCTAACGCGGTTGGTAGGGAAGTGAACCGGAAGTCAGCTCAGCAAACACCGACTTGCCCATTCGACCACTGCAGCAAACACTGTAAAGAGGGACCTTCAGCCAGGTCCGGGACTGAACGCAGCAGGGGCAGGAAAGGGACATAAGTCCGTGACACAGGGAGGACAGTATTCTGCATTGAAGAGACATTCCACTCATTCACATGTAAAATATCTAGGAAGTCCCACCCTCCGAGATGTCCAGTGTAACCGAGATGGATAGTCAGCCTCGGTAGACAAAAGTCTTCAGCATGATGGCCGGGATGAAATGGCTGTGGCAACATCTCGGTGAAACTAAAGTTGCCCCTAGTTTGTCCTCCCACCACCAAATCTCCAACGATTTGGCAAATTCGCTCTATGTTTTGTAAAAAATGAATTCGTGCGCGCATGTTCAAAAATGACAAATACCACGTATTGTCTCTGGTTTCTAGCTCCGTGCTGTAGTACTGTTCTCTGATCTTCTTCTTTTGTTTTTCTTTTCCCCTTCAAAGTTCTATGTTCTTTTTTTGATTCTGCACCCCTGGGAATTCGAATGGTTTTTCCTGTGACCGCGCTGTAGCTTGCGGACCGTCCTCAGTCTCTCGATTGCTCCGATTCCACCTCTGAAGTATGACAAAGCTTTGACGAGTGTGTTCACAGTGCCCATAGTTATCCCTTTTCCCACCACCTTCTGTGTGTGCTAACGCTGAGAAGTTTCTCATGGATTTCCTGCAAAATGCTCGGAGCCTGCTTTTTTTCTGGGAGTTCTGCCAGGCAGCACTCACTGTCCATAACTGTCCTCCACGTTCTGTGAACCCTCGTCCCTGTGGGGGGCAGGCCATTCATAGCCCCCAGCTGCAGAGTGAAAGCACCTTCCAGACTAAGTGTGGACCGTGTATGCTCCCCAAGCCACGGAGGAACCCCGAGCTCTACCAACATATTCCATCCCACTACCAGACGCATTCCAGGTTAGACCCGTGTTGCCTACAGTGTGTTCTTCAGTCTTTTCTTATCCTTTAAGTAGGGGTTGCATTGTGTGTGATCACAGGGAGCACCCCACTAGTTCTGCCCACGAGCATTTAGAGGGATTTCCCAGAAGACGTGACATTTCTTAAATGATTTTTTTTTTCGCGTGAAGACTCACAGCGACACTGCTCTTTCAAATGTATGTCAATTAAATAGGCAGTTGGGTACTTTTGTAGTAAAAGAGATAGTGTTTTGCCAGTTTGTCCAAGTTTCTGGCCCCCGGTGACTCTCCAGAAACACATCTGTAAGACCATCACTCAGAAGGAAGGAAAGAGCAGATGAAGCCCCATCAAAGACTGAATCGATTATTATGGGTACTGTGAGTGCATCAACCGAAGAAGGAGCTAGCTACGCAGTCCTTGCTCTCAGTCACAGCGAAGAGTCCGTTCCTGGACACCACCAGTGAAAAGTATTGCCCTGTGTGTACAGCGACTGGCAGCTACACAGTGATTCTCTAAACAGAGGCCATCTTCTTCCATCATGGCCACCATGTGAATTATTTAGATGTTGGACGCTTGGCTTGCCAAAGAGTGCTATCAACCAAAAACGAACAGCCATGCTAGCTACAAGTCCAAAAGTTCTCTGTTCAGCAGTCTAAATCGATCATTTACACATCGTGAGCCAATATGCATCACACACCTGAGTTCCAGACAATAGCAGAGGCTTGAGGTAAACTGGCCTTTAACTCAGTGCTCCCTTTTCTCCAGCCCCGAATTGTTTTCATCTTGCCTTAGGTATACACTTTGCTCATGACCAATCTGTCCTATACCCAGGCTCCCCCAAATGATCTCTCTAATCAACCACTCCCTTTGAAAAGAAATAACCTGGAGACACGTAGTAGTTCCCACAACAAGCATAGCAGAACTACTGTTTGTGGAACGTCTGCTATGTGCCAAGCACTTTAACAGTTTTTTTTTTTTTTTTTATTTGCGGTATCTAACTGAATTCTTATGAAAGCCTAGAAAATGTAAATTGTTATTCTGACATACAGATGGGAAAACTGATGCTTAGAAAGTCAGAGAAGGCCTTCAAAGGGATGTGGGGAAAAGTGATTTCAGACTGTCTTTTCAAGGAATAGTCTGAGAGCTTCCAAAGGCACTTTCCCAGGCAGTTTTTTTCATTGTCCTCTGAATGTGTCTGGCTGGAGCTCGGTGTGGAAGGAGCACCCTTTCTGGGGCTGGTTTTGTTCTTGGCCACCTACAGTAGTGTCTTTTTCTTTCCGGGTGAGATCCCTTTATTTCGGAAAGGTACTTTCAAATGCAAGTGCTGGAATCGGGGTTTCTTGCTGTTAATGATGGAAACTTGGTGAAAACTTAATTTGTGTTACAAATGAAAGTAAACAGAGGATAAATAGAGAAGTATTTACTATTTTTAGAGATAGAAGATTCAATTTCAATAAATCATAGTTGCTTTCATAACTAAGAATTTTTGCTTTTATTTTTGAAGTGTGCCCTAGACAAAATAAAACATCTAGAATAGAGAGGTTTGTTTTTTTGTTTTTTTTGGCTTTTCTTTTTTTCATTATTAAAACCAGGTGTGCTCCCTCAAGTTGTTCTGTGGGGAATAATCTGTGAAATCATCAAGGTCAGAGATTTTGTCTTATTCTTCTTCCTATCGCCAATTTCTGGCATGTGGTGGACCTTCTCAAAAGTTTGTTCAGTTGGATGGTAAATGAAGAATGGAATCATCAGAAGCCCCAATATATTTAATTTAGCTGAAAAATAATAAATGAAACAGTTCTGATACATGGCTGGTTTTGATATAAGTTATTGATCATGCAGAATATTTTTAATAGAGATTATTGTTGGATTATCAAGGAAGCATAGCTATGACTAATGAGATAAAATTAAGCAAAAGAAAAATGTGAACCGAATATCAAGAAATATTTCCAATAGATGAGGCTGGGATTTAATCAGGCAGAGGAGTCCCAGTGGAAGTGGTTGGGGACATTTAACACCATGCATGTCACTTAGAGCTGCAGTGAACTTACACGATTAACAAGGGACAGACTCTGACTTTGGCAGAATGATAAGTGAGATCGTATCTCTAGTTCCATTGATTCTTTCTTACACAGGCATGCATTCACAGCCTCCCACCCCCCTATGGAAAGAATTTATGTGTGTGTGAAATTTTCTGATTATTGTTTTCTTTCTCCCAGAAAACACTAGAATCTTCTGGTGCCATCAGAAATGTCTCCCTTAAGTGGCAAAGTCCAGACTGTCTTGGGGCTGGTGGAGCCGAACAAACTGGGCCGCACCCTGACCCACGAACATCTGACAATGACCTTTAACTGCTCTTACCACCCACCGCCTCCATCTCATGAAGCTCTCTCTCGGGAGCCTATTATGATGAAAAATTTGTTTTGGATTCAGAAAAACCCTTACTCCCATAAAGAGAATCTTCAGCTGAATCAGGAGACGGAAGCCATCAAGGAAGAACTGTTGTATTTTAAAGCCAAAGGTGGAGGGGCCTTGGTGGAGAACACGACCACTGGGATCAGCCGCGACGTGCAGACTTTGAAGCGGCTGGCGGAAGAGACGGGCATTCACATCATATCTGGAGCTGGGTTTTACGTGGATGCAACTCACTCTTCTGAGACCAGAGCCATGTCGGTGGAGCAGGTAAAACGCCCGACGATCTTTGACAGGATTTGTGTGTACGTTTCAAAATAGCCAGAACTTCAGATGTTGCATTATCCCCACGTGTCCTCTGCATTTGGCAATGTCACTGGCTCAGAGGTAGCTGAGCATACTACAAAAATTCGCTAGCTAGCAAAGACATCTGCCCACTGAGATCCAAATTAGGAACATTTCATTTCATAAAGAAAAAGTGTCAAGGAAGGAGAGCTTGAGGCACTGGTCACTGCAAAACTCGACATCTTAATACTTGGATTCATATATGTCACGTCCGTGCTCAGTGGCGGGGCCTCAATCTGTTTGTAAACCTTCGTTTTCCACGATAAGCTTCAGTTATGCAACCTCAGTTTTCTTTCTGGATTTTATAAGAACCAGCAATAAAAATTCACTGTAGGGTGAAACTTGGCAGGCAGAGACTTGGCACATTTGCAAATATGTTTCCTTTGCCTTTTACAAAACAGGAGGGGTGGGAGAAAATCCAGTCCCCTATTTTTGTCATAATATCTTCAGTGAGAATGGGCACAGGGAAGTAAATCTTGCAGGAACAAAAAAGAACAACTAAGCAGCAAGCATCTTTTGCACGTGTATGTGCTCTCTTTCTATATGCACACGGATGTGTTTATATGTGTTTATACATGTTTATATTCATACCCATCTTCCATTGCCTGCTTGATAGGCAGAGTGTGTCAAGCTGCAGAATCAGTTCATCTTTAAATACTTTGTGTTTCAGAATTTTATCTGCATTATTTTTTTAATCAGGTCTTTCCCTTTTTATACATTTATATGTTTTGAAGACTATCACGATGTCAGTGATTGCACATTTTTCCAGCCACTCTTAGCCGTAACTATATATATGACCAAAAAAAAATGTAAAATTAGCATTGCATGCTGTGAGTTTTCGACACTGCATAGAATAAAGGACCGCGTAAATAAGGGAGAATTAAATAATTACTTTATATAGTTCACATAGGTTCAGCGGCAGTCTTTTTATGTTCTAGATGCTCCTCGGGCTAACTCCACGTTGATAAATTCCACAGTCTATAATACACTTTCATTCCCAACTTTCCTTAGCTGACTGACGTCCTCGTTAATGAAATTCTCCATGGAGCTGATGGGACCAGTATCAAGTGTGGCGTTATTGGAGAAATCGGTTGCTCCTGGCCTCTGACTGACAGTGAAAGGAAGGTTCTCCAGGCGACGGCTCATGCCCAGGCCCAGCTCGGCTGTCCTGTTATCATTCACCCTGGAAGGAATGCAGCCGCACCCGTTCAGATCATCCGAGTACTGCAAGAAGCAGGTGCAGACATCTCCAAAACAGTTATGTCGCACATCGATAGGTAAGCAGAATGTTCAAATTCGTGCAATCCACCCGACGATTCGGGATGAGATGTGTAGGGGCCAGCAACGCAGTTGACTATATAAATATGTTGGCTGCTTTTAATTTGATGAACAAGCCTAAGGATGTTGTAAAGATTACACATTAGCCTTTAGATTAAATTGATTAAGGAATTAACACAGTACCGATGTGACTAATAATATGTGATAGTTACTTCCAAATTGGGATTCCGGGATATGATGTAGCTTTCATTGTTTCTCGGAAACTTCTGCCGTTGTCTCTTCGAATATTGCTTCATCTGTATTTTTTTTATTTTTGCATCATAAACTCCAATTTGATATATATGTAGGATCTGATTACCTGTCCTCCATGTATCTTAACATTTCCTTCATATTTCCTTCTGTTTGCAACTTTGAGCTGTAATTTCTTCAATTCTGTCTTCCCATTTACTACTTCTCTCTCCAATGGAATCAATCTGTTGCTTGGCCTATAAATTTGGTTTATAATTCTAAGAACTATAGTTTTTTTCTATAAGCTCTATTTGTTACTTTTCAAATCTGCTTGGTTAATTTTGATTAAATTTTTTCCTTCAATATGTTTTCAGTTCGATTGTTAAAAAATATTAAGCATACAATGTTTACCTTATAATTAAGAAATCTAATTTCTATTGTCTTTTTACTCTGACTTTATACTTTGTTGATTCTTCTGGCTCTCATTAATGTGAGCTGCTTTCTTTGAATTAAATTTTTTTATTATGATCTTAGATTCCTTGGAAATCATTATGAGACCTGGGTTGGGATTTTTTTTTTCTTTTTTTTTTTTTTTTGCTTTTTTCTTGTAGGCAGTTAGGGGGCACTACCAACCTGGCACTACTCTAAGCTAAATTAAAAAAATTAATTGTGGTAAATGCACTTAACATTTACCATCTAAGCCATTTTTAGGTGTACAGTTCAGAAGTAAATATATTCGCATTGTTGTACAACCAGTCTCCAGAACTCGTTTCATCTTGCAAAACTGAAACTCTATACCCATTAAACAACACCTTCTCATTCTTCCTACCCCTGGCCCATGGCGACCAGCACTCTACCGTCTCTCTTTATTAATCTGACAGCTCTAGGTACCTCATACGAGTAGAATGACGAAGCAATTGTCTTTTTGTGACTTTTCAAACTAAACTTTTGACTCAAGGGGTTCAGGACTACACACGTGCTATGACTTCTGGTCCCTAAACTCAGTGAGTGCAGGCTGTGGTTACAGATTCTCAGAGGGGACTTTTTTCAACCTGCCTCCCTTTCACCAAAAGACGAGACTGAGAAAAGACAGAACATCTCCAAAGACTCCCTCTGTGGGCCAGTTTTTACCTAGTTCATCCACAAGGGTGTCATCTTTGGCGGAGAGGAGTAGCCCCTTTATGTGCCTGCGGAGGCTGAGTCTCCAGTTTTCTTCCCACCCTATTCCAGCCCTGGCTGTCTATTACTGGACCCATAATGCGCCCGCCCGCCCGCCCCCGCTGCGTCGCCTCACAGGAAAATAATAGCTCTGAGTTTCCCCTTACTCCTTATTTTCTTTGCTTTCCTGTTGTTTCTGCATCTCGAGCAAGCCCTTTACTTTCCCACCAGCTCAGCCAAGGATTTAAAACTATGATTTTTTTCCCCCTTTCATATGGTCAATATTTTACATACACTATGCTTGAAAAGCTTTCTGTGAATGTTTAGTCTGCTACACTGCTTGCAACTGGCTCATGACGGTTCTTAAAGAAGAATCTTTCTAGCCCTATCTGTTTACAGTTAGACCTTTAGGTAAGTTAGAAAATTATGCTTTGCTCTAATAGGAAATGCACTTTCATTGGAAATTGTAAAATAAGCCTTAACTCTCAGCACAGTAGAATTTTTTTGCTCATAAAAACAAACTATATATATATATATGTATATATGCACACACACATATACATATATTATGTAATATAATATATATTATATGTTTATTCCTTGCTCTTAAAATCAATATAATATAAATGTGTATTCCTTGCTCATAAAATCAAACAACATATAGATGTACAATATACATATGTATACACACACATACACACATATGCACATGTATTTTCTTTTAAACAATAAAGCTATATTATCCGATTTTCATTGGCTGCCATGTCAAAGCCTCCCTCTAGGACGGCTCAGGGTGGAATGGGCAGGTTGACCTGACATCAGACACACTCTGAGCATCCTAGAAAATCCTGAGGCCATTTCTGGAACAGCCACCCACTCTGTATCTATAATAGGGATATTTCAGGGTTCCAGTACCTGGCAAAGAAATACATAGAAGCATGAACATTTCAGTGGAGAGGCAACTGGGGAAAATGGCTTTAGAAAAAGTAGTGCATTTGGAAAAACAAACTGAATAAAGTAACAAAAAAAATCGTGGAGGCAGATGCAGGCAACTTTAGCTTTTTGATGTGACTGTTCACAGCAAGACAGTCGCCAGCCTGAGGTTTGACTAGGTCAGCCTTTCACAGGCTCTCTGAGGTCTGCTGGGCTGCACACACACAGTCTGATCTGTACTGAAAGGGCAAGGACTTCAGCTTTTATAATGGGGACAAATCACAAAAGGGCATGTATTTCATGCAACAAAGTGCACAGACGACGGACAAAAGGAAAAGCATCCTGAAAACGAGGCCTCCAAACAAAACAAAACAAAAAACAAAAAAGGAACCAGAAAATAATTTTGTTTCTCCCACCATGTTTTTCACGCATAAAGAAGAAGGTTTTGAACCCACAGGCTGCTGTGATTGCAAGGTGACAAGTCAACAACGCTCTGCAGCCCATTAGATGCCGGGCTTCCTAGCAGAACTGACGCTCAGCCCTGACTGCCTGTAAAACTGTTCATGTATCCCCTTGAAGGTGGGATTTCTATCACTTGAGAATACAAAATAAAATATTCCAAGATATCCATAATCGCAATGAAGCAATTAAGTGTTTTTGAAAGTATATAAATCTTCACCATCATTCATGCATAAGGCACCTTAAAATACATGCAAGTAAACACACACACACACACACACACACACACACACACACACACAGCAACAACAACACTGCTTTACAGCTGTCCAAAAGGACTAGCTGGGCCCCTGAGAGGGAAGAGTTAACTAATGGCCATCACCTTACGACACCTCTGAACCATATTGCTGTCATGTGACCATTTGTGACCTGCTTAAGGTCATTTACCTGGAGATAACAGCCTGACAAGATAAATCTGCTTCTGTGTCCAGCCCTCCTCTAACCATCTGTTCTCTTGAAGAAATACGGGCCTGTGGAAGTGCCCAGGGACTGCTGTGACTTTAACCCTAGGGGACCTCGTAGGGGGCTGCCCTTGACAGCTACAGTCACCCAAAGTCAACATTTATTGGAAAATAACACCAGCATTTATGTGTCCTTTTTGCTTTTAATACACAAAGCCTTTATGCTTTTTAATCATTTATTATCATTTTACTACCTGTTAAAACTAGCCACATTTCCAGGTGGCATATAATCACAGCACTGCCTCTGCCCTCGGTCTAATACGGCCTATACGTGATTGAAGAAGACACCCCCCCCCAGACAGTCTTTTGAGACCCATTTCCAAGGACATTTTATCCTTAATGTGCTTTAGAGTAGCTGTAGGTATTTTGATGACAACATAATTCTTTCATTACCAAGGACAGCTGGGTAAAACAACACGGCCGGAAGGTATTTGGGTACTAGTTCCCGGTTACATTGTGAGTGCTCGGGACAGCACCAGAGAGGCCTCAATTTTTTTTCTTTTCTATCTGGCTATCCATTTAACAAACCAAAGGGCTCTGATGGAAATCCGGGGCTTGGAGAAGTTTGAGGAGGCACACAATAATAATGAAGTGCAGGAAAATAGCACATCTTCTCTCTTTGAAAACTGGTCCCTATAGAAGGTTAACGTATTTGACCCAAGCGTTTTTGAGAGAGGGAAGGGATGACACAGATGATGGGCTAACAACACATTTTCTTCTCTTTATCTCTGATTATTCATGCCGAATCCACCCAACTCTTAAAAGGGTACAATTTGGATATATTTTTTCATGCTCTAATTAGACGAAATGAGTGGAATGTTCCTCCCTCCTTTCCTTCCTCCTTTCCACCCTCCTTCCTTTCTTTCCTTCCTTCCTTCCTCCCTTCCTCCCTGTTTTTTTCATGCTCCTAATTAGATGAAATGAGTGGAATGTTCCTTCCTCCTTTCCTTCCTCCTTCCCACCCTCCTTCCTTTCTTTCTTTCCTTCCTTCCTTCCTCCCTTCCTCCCTCCCTCCCTTCCTTCCTTCCTTCCACATATATTTATTCTGTGCCTAATTACTGTAAACCAGACACTGGGAGGTAACAGGGAGCAAGACCCATTCCTTGCTGTCAAATGATTATTTAATAATAGTTATGGTGACATTTGACCTTAAAGTTGTCTTTGAAAAGCCACCAGAAAATGCTTATCTAGTATTGTTAGGAATGAACGGTTTTAATTCCTATGAATATGAGTGAATTAATATGAAAGCATTCAAAAACAATTCCAGGCAAATGTTTGGCAAACTTAAATTTAGCAAAATATCTTTATCTATTTAAATAGGAGCACTTTTAAAAAGAACAACTGGAATGTTAGCCACATGAAATGGTTTAAACACTTAGAATTCTGTGCATATGGTGCTGTATTTCTTAAAAGTTCATTATCGGGATTATGTATATGTATGTATTACGTACATAATATATAGTATGCAGTGAAAGAACTGAGTGTATATTGTATGGTACATGCACTGTGTGGAGTATGGATAGTAAAGGCAACTTATCTAGTCATAGTGGCTTAGTTCCAACCACGGAATGACAAATGAAGAAATTAACACAGGCAACAAAGCAGGGGCTTGGCAAGCAAGTGAACATTTTTCAAAGAAAATATGAACTAATACCACTTCCTTTTTTCCCATTTACTAATGTCCACTGACCATTCTTCTG